TACTGAGTACATGCTTTAAAGTATAACAATAAGGGGCTGGGGATTTAGCTCAGTGGCATAAGCACCTGCCTTGCAAGTAGGTGGTCGTGAGTTCAATCCCCGGTACCGATACAAATGAAAAAGACAAAAAAAAAAAAAAAAAAAAAAAAAAAAGCAAAACAAAAACAAACAAACAAAAAATAAAGCATAACAACAAGAAAAATATCCCAGTAGATCCTGAAATCCTGGGCTGCTGCATTGGTGAATTGATTCTACATTTTTTACATTTTCTTTTATTGCTGCAGAAGTGCATAATGTGTGGAAGTAGATTAGAGTGGAAATGTGAAGAATGAGGTAGGAGTGGTCATGACCAATAGGTCAGCACAGAGCAGTGCCACTTCTGCCTTCTCAACTCAGCGGTGTGGAACTAAGTGTGGCAAAGCAGCCAGTAAGTTGGACTTCAGCCAAAGGAATAAGAAGTGTTGCCACAATTGCTTTTTTTTTTTATTAAAAGGGTCATATGCATAAAAATAAAAAAGCTAAACAATATCATATATAAGAGGAATGCTCGTACACGTTTGGAAAACAGGTAATTTTTCTTGATTCCAGTAAGTAGTGGTAAATGGATTAATGACACTTGGCTGAGGAGAGTCTGTCATTGATCAGTGGTGAAGGTATAGACTGCTGTATAAAACGCTCAGAGAATTGCACTTATTCTGAATTTTCTATTAATGTGTCAGCTATAAGACAAATTTCATTCATAGATTAATGTGCCATTTAAAAGAAGATAGGCATAAATTCCCAATCAGAAAATAACAGCATAATGATTTTAAGTGTTCACTAATATTAATGTTGCTATAAATGATCACTTCAGTATAATTCATACTCCTATTTCAAAGTAGAACATGGTTCAAAATAGTAATAAGAACATGGCTCAGAAATGATAAGAAATTTTTGTGCAAATATTGAGGCAACTCAGAAGAACAGAGCTTGGAGAATAAAATCATGACACACAAATCACATTTTAACTGTATATTAAAGTAGGTTCTCTACAGCTTGCAATGAAATTAATAGTCATATATAATCCCCATTCAGCTGAATACCCCTTGTATAAAATCTATTTCCAGGATATTGAAGATAATATCTTAAAAATGTTTAATTCTTCTAATAACAACAGAGAAGTATCTTTCTATTCTATTTATTTGGGTATTTTATTATTGAGGAAAAGGCTGTAAACATATTATAGCCATTAGGTTAAATGGCAACTCATGCAAAGTTAATATTTGCTAGCTTTTGTTCTCATCTTTCTAAAGGCTCTTTGAGAGTAGTACCTTTTCCCTCTTCATCAGAAATCATCCACTAATGAGACTTCCCAATTTGTTTTTTTTTCCAAAACAATCAAACGCACTCCTTGTCTCTGTCCTTTAGACAGCGATGGTGCACTCATGGGTACCATCTTTAGAAAGCTATCGCTGAGGGTCATGGGTGTCTGTCATTTTGTTCATCTCAGGAGGGTGGGGCCCACCGTTATTTTCACCAGCCTACCTCATTTCTGCAACCTTACTCTTCTCTTCATGGCTTGTCTGCCTATGCAGGAGATTTCTCAAGATTCTTCCAGAACTTTTATATGCCTCAAAATGTCAAAAAACACTTTACAAAATTATCCTGAATTTTACACCAAGACGGTTGTCAGCAGGCCAGAATAAGCCAGCTGTTGTGAGTTGAAATACTTGATCTCTTTGAGTTCTTTGGTTGTAGAATTAAGGCACTACATGAGAATTTCAGAGCTGGAAATGTTACCTCACTATGTAATATTTAAAATAATAAGAGACCCAGAGAAGTTTAACAATTGGCCCAAAGCTACATGATGGTTAATGACTCTCATCTTTCCATACTAACTTTGGGCTTTCATCATCTCATACAATTAATATGCTTCTCAAAAACTATTGGGTCAATTAAGACATTTCACACAGAAGAGACTTCTACCACTTGTAATCAACATATTCTTTGTTTTTACTGTTCAAACTTTCTATGTACTTTTCCAGCACATCTCAACAAGACTCTTGAATCTTCTCCCTTCTCCTTGTTCTCCCTTTCTTGTTCACTGAAAGATTTATACAGATTTATTAAATTAAATTGCTGCAATCACATTATTACGTAGAAACTACTTCAGTATCCTTATAAAATTATAATTTGTTATCAAACTGTAAGCAAATACTATGTTTTGTGACTCATTTTGTGTTTGACTTATGTTTTTTACTTTTATTAGTACATGTTTGCAAGTATACAATGATTACATTCACTGTAGGGAATTGGTACATGTACATAATATCCTCTCTAAGTCAAGCTGAAGGCATCAAAACGTCCCTTTACTATCTCTAAAAAGTAAAATTTAACTTCTCATTTTCTTATCTGCTTTATTCACTTCTTTTAAGTAATACAGATAAAAGACTTTCATTTGTATTTGCTTTCTGAAAATTAGTTTGTAGTTCCATTAAAAAAAAACCCCAAACCATTCCTTTCTCATTTTCCTTGTGCTTAACTTTTCTGAGTGTTTCAGGGTAGTTCCTCTCCCCAGCCTTCAGACCCTTTCCTTTGTGTATGAAGGTCATCATAAGCTTTTCTTTCCAAATCCCTTCTAGACATTCATTTAAGAGATCTTTGAAACACCAATCTAGTTATTGGACTGTAGTCAATAACTACATATCACCATCACTAAGCTTTTAATTCTGTTTCCTCATATCCTTTAACTAAGGAATAAAGAATCCCAGAATTGAAGGATATATTAAAGATTCTTTAGTTATCCTACCAAATACAATACAGTCCATTTCATTTTATAAAACAATTTGTTATGGCTTGTGTCTAGATGTCCCTCCCAAAGCCTCACGTGGTCATAGGTGTAGCTTTTTCAGAGGATCTACAATGTATGTTGCTGGGATTATGGGTATGTAATTATTAAATTATCCACTAATTGGTTTGGCAGAGTTCTGAGTGTGGACAATGGGAAGACCTCCCCCTCTCCATGTGAGTACTACTGGCCCTAAAGGCATGTAGCCTGAATAAAATATAAAGGGCAGAAAAAGGGCTGCTGTGGTTGCTTGTCACCTGCTTCTTTTCACTACTTCACTGCTTTGCTGTCTTTTGCCCATCATGAACTCTTTCTACTTTGTGATGCACCTCTGCCAGAACACATTGCCTCGGAGCCCACTATGAATTAAAACCTCTACAAACTGCAAACTAAATAAAATTTTCCTCCTTTAACTTTGGGTGTCAAGTATTTTGTCTTGGCAATGAGAAAAGTAATTATATTGAACCTAATTTTCACAATCAACAATCAAAATCTTTGTCATAATATCTGCTGAGAGCCTCACTTAGTTTGCAGTTGTGAAGACCTAAATCATTAATGTCTTTTGTGAGTTGGGAACATATTTAAGATGTGGATGCTATCTATTAGAGCTCAAAAGCTACTTCATTCCAATAGTACTCAGTGTTTACCATCAATTATACCAAATAATCAACGAAAAGAATTTTACAGTTTTAATGGGACCATTAATAGAAAAAAAAATGAAAATATTCAACTAACGATAGTTCTACAGCTTTTAAGAAATGGGCTATCTAAAATTTAATACTTTGTCACAATGCAATTACTAGGTTATGAGTCTAAGGTAGCCACAAATATTAATATATTTTCATATGGTCAGGAAACTACATATACATGAACTTTTATTTCTCTTAAAAGACAAAGGATGAGTTTCCCCAGAAGTACATGACAGGTATTTCAATCTGAGGATCTGTGTTTTGAATGTCCTCCATTTTACCTCATGATTCACAGAGCCAAATACTGCATACATCATTGTATTTTTCATTTTGTGATGCTTGAATAAAATGAAAAGTGTACAATTTTTCTTATACATAAATGGTATACTTCTGAAATAAACATGATGAAAACCCTGACATTTAATGTTAACATACCCAAAGTCTGGTGGTAAATGGTATTATTTTCAAAGAGGTAAATAAATAAGCAATAAATATGGTCTATTTTAATGGCAAACCTTGAAATTAGCAAACATGCTAACTCCCAACTGGTTCAACTTTAAGATCTGTTTAAAGGGTGGTTTTTAACTTGATAGGTTTGGAATAGGGGAAGGCAGAAAGCAGAGGGGCGGGACCCAGGGAGGCAGCTCTGGGAGATGAATTGGTGTCGGAGTGAAGCGGCTGGTTACAGTAATAGCTGGAAACCCTAAGTGTTACAGGCTTTGAAGTCAGTTCAGCTTTGATGTCTTACTCTCACAGTTAATCATAAGATAGCATGGAAGGCGAAAAAATAAGACTTTCCAATTCTGTCCTTGGTGCCATTGCTCAAGAAACTGTAGCATGAAAAAATACCAATGTCTGTGTGAACTTTCAGTGTAGCACTGTTCTGCTCTTTATTTAAAAAAAATTTTAAAATACTGACGCACTAATAAAAATTCTTAGCTTGGGATAAACAAATGAATAGGCAGAAAGATTCTTAAATATTTCAGAGGAATATGTATAGCAATCAATAAGGATGCACATTGATGCTGATCTGTGTTTGTTACTACATTAGTTATTGTTTTGATTGAGTTATATTGACACAGTTCTCAACCTTGAGGAATTTATTAGCTTAGTACTGATTAGCTTGGTGCAAGCAGTTAAAAATTTACAGGAAGGAGGTACTGACACCATCTAAGTCTAACATTGAGGTCCAGGAAAGCTGGCTTGTTTTAGAAACAGAGGATCTAACTGTCTAGTGCACATGTGAATAAACGATAACCAATTGACAAGACAAACACAGAACAAAAAGCATCTTGTCAGTTTTTGGCTAGAAAAATTACGGAAATTTCATTTTCATATAGAGTATTATTTCCCTAATTTGTCATTTATGCAAAAATTTCATGCATTTTGACTCCTTTCTCTCTGTGTTACTGGGGACCTAACCCAGGGCTAATGCAGGATAAGTTAGTGCTCTGCCACTGAGCCATATCTCTGACACTTCAGCATTTCTTTTTTTTTTTTTTTTTTTTTTTTTTTTGGTCTTTTTCGTTTTTATCGGTACCAGGGATCGAACTCACGACTGCCTGCTTGCAAGGCAGGCACTTATGCCGCTGAGCTAAATCCCCAGCCCCTAGCATTTCTTTTATCAACTTAGTAAACTCTCACTTACTTTGCTGAGTTACAATAAAATGGATTTAGTCCATTCAATGGGTTTCACGCGTTATTTATCTTTTTCTAACATATTAGAATAAACAAAGGCCTATTAAAACAAAAACAAAACAAAGAAAAAAAAAAAAACAGTTCACCCATAAACTACCTGTGCTGTGAGTATAAAACACTGAGAGTTGCAGCACTCAGGGAAAGAATACATCCAATCTATTTGTGGTAGTACTTAAATGAGAACTATGATCTGTACATATCTGCTCTTCCAGTCAAATGTCCCAGAGTCCAGAGGCTTAAGCTAACTTGAATTCTAACTGTTTTTTCTTTGGGGTCCTATAGTTTGATATTTGTCACCTTAAAACTTTGTTCAGCTACTGTGACCTGCCCCAACTTATGTGATGGCTAACAATTTGCAATTTTAAAAACATGCTGGGAGCACTAACACATGCCAGTACTTTCACTACCCAGAGGCCAATGCAGGATTTGGTGTTTGAGGTAGGTCTGGGCAACTCAGAAAGACGCCATTTCAAAATAAAAAGTAAAACAGGGTGCAGTTGGAGCAATGGTAGAGCACACCAAGTTCAATCCTTAGGGCTTCAAAATAAAACAAAACTATAATAATCACAGTAGCCCAAGGCTAAGGCAGTAATAAAGAATTCAAATGCAAAGGTACCCTTTAATTATTTCTCGCTAGTGCTATCCTGTTGCCTCTTGTTTCAAAAGACAAAATTTTCTAATTACTGTATATAGAAACTAAGGAACCAGTCACATATGTGAGACTTCAATGGGAAAAGAAAAAAGTGATAAAACTTATGCAGTGCTGTTGTTGATGTGCTGGTATCACAAGCAAGATGTAGAAAAATCCAAAGGCAGACACTAGAAGAGAGAAGGGGTTAAATACACTTCAGGAAAACAAAAGGTTATTCCTCTGTTATATTCTTTTCCTTTAAGTGCATTAGAGTTGACTGTAAACATAAACAAAAGCCACTGGTGGGCAATTACATTTGAAGAAGTAGCCCATAAAAAGTGGAATATTTAGTATGTATTAGAATCAGTTACACAACATCTGATTTAATGGTTAGGTTTTAAGCGCTCCTCTTATAATACATGTTAAATGTTCTCAACAAATCATATTCGGTAATGTAGCAAAATGACAATTTCAATGTAGTCTCAGGCTGGTAGGACAAGAACATTAAGGCAAATTAAAGTGTAATCTTTCATTTACACTAAAAGGTTGAAAATCTACAGGCATTTGTAACAGGAACTTTAAAGTGAATTTGCCTTTCCCAAAGTCATCTCACTAGACAGCAAAGAGGACTTGGCATGTGACCAATAAATTATGAGAGCGCTGCACCTCAGGGTTAAAGGGCACTGATGACTTCAACAAATCTCACCAGCAGAGGCAACAGATTAAGCTGAGGGACAGGGTGCCCTACAACCCTAACCTGTTAATACCTTCAGATTCTTCAGGGTGACCTTTAGTCTGCCCTCTTCTATTAGTTGTTAGTTACACTAATTACAGCTTAACTGGTATTGTTGGTACCAGTTTCCCCCCTGAAAAGACAGGCAGGGAGAGGATATCTCTAATAGCTTCAAATAACTTCAGACAAATTCTGTTGTGCACATCAGGAGCACTTACCTCCAGCTTTGAATGAGTCTTTTATGGACATCAAAGGAAAGACACTAAAAGCCATGGGTGTTTGTGGATTCTATAAACCATTTCGTAAAGGAAGTGGAAAAGTAAGAACTGTAACTTCTGTGACTACAACTTTAGAACAGTTCTAAGACAAGGTAATATATTTTATCTTTTATGTTTGTTTTGAATCTGTGGGGACTAGTGATTTCAAAAACAAGGAGCTAGTTATACTTTAAGCAATGTAAAAGTATTTAGCCCAAGAAATCTCTTCAAAATTTATGGTTTTTAGAATGGGATAATGAAAATTCTATTACAGTGTTTTAGAGCTGTTTAAGTTCAACATGTACATTAATGTTAACCCAAGATTCCATGGAGTTGAACAGAGGATTCCAGTGCCCATTTACACAGATTCGAATACCATCTGTGAAGCTGCAGTAAATTACCCATTAACATTAATGTTTAAACAAGGTACTAAATCAAAGCAGAAATGTACCAAAGAGATTTACAGCAAAAGAATCATAACTGAATTATTAAGATTAATATACACAGTTTCACATATAAGAACTGCAGGTTTTCAACATCATGATATTTTGCTTTGAATAAAAACTTCTTTTAAATTTTAAAAATAAAGTCCTAATATTTCAATGACATGGAGTGTTTTGTGTATATGTATAAAAACCTGAAAACAACAGCTGAATGGAATTTATTATGATAATGGTATACCCAGTTAAGAAATACAATAATGAAAATCTGATTTTTATGAAGCAGACACATTATGAAATAATTACCATATTAGCATTATTAAAAATGTTTTACAAAAGGGAATCCTTAAACCAAATCCTAATGTTTTTAAAGATATTGACCAACAGAAATTTGACTTGTGAAAGTCTTTGGGAAAATGAAGATGTGTCATGCTTAATTAGGGCATTGTATGTCATTAGATCCAAGACTTTATTGATTCTAAGATTCATCATGACTTCATTTGCCACTTAGAAAAAACACTGCCAATTAAAGTTACAACATAATGTTTTCATATCACACTGGCTGAGAGATGTACCCAAACTTTAGCTAATTAAGATTGTCTTGTAATCGATGCTACTCAATATTTTATAATAAATTGGCATACCCATCAATATATCTAGAAAGATGAATTGGTTTTGGGAAAGTAATCTGATTTTGACACACAATCACTGAGTACCATTAAATAATTTTATTGTACATAAAGTATTGAGGGGATATTGACCCTATGTTTTCTCTTTTCTGAAGATAGAAAATCAAGGAACAGTGGCTGATAGAGTGATTTCAGTGTACTTGAATAATGTATTGATTAGCTAATATCTCTGCTTTTATCTAACATGTGTTTAAGGCAGACTCCAAAAAGATAACATCTAACAAAATAATTTGGAAAATGAAAACTTGAAGACAATAACTATGGAAAAAGAAAGAAACACAGTTAACAGTGAAATTTTAGGGGTTATTTCGCCAGGAGCATACCTTGCTAATCCCAAAGAATCTCTATAAAGCACACTGTTATACTCTACCATTATTTCTTAAAAGATAGATATCAAATCAAAGTATGACCTAGAAAGACAGTAAATACGAGAAAACCCAACTGAACCAGTGGCTCTCTGATTTTCTACATGCTTACTCTACGGTGGAGGTGCAATTCAGTTATGTCAGGCTATAGGCAGTTGACAAGTGGGTTGCAAATAGCTCTGGAAGTGAACACTCCTACAAACAGGACCTACAAGGGGAAGGTCTCAGACTCCACATGATAAAAAGCAAACACCACAAATGACCAAGGGCACTGAAATAATATTTAGGTCTACAGTGGAATCATGTTGAGGAATCAGTTTTAGAAGTTACAAGTGTGCATTCTACTTCTTGAGTTTCAAGTATCTCGTTTTGTCTGTCTGTTTGTTTGTTTGTTTTGGTACCAGGGATCGAACTCACAACCTAATGCTTGCCAGGCTGGTGCTTATGCTACTTAGCTAAATCCCTGACCCGCAAGTAACTTCAAACAGAAGCCTCAGAGTTCTCAGAACACTTATTTAGTTTTTGCCTCCTAAGTATTCTCATTAAATTCTGATATAGTCAACTTTTAAAAACCTTAAGCTATTAGGCTATGCACGGGGGGGGGGGGCTGTTCTCCTATTGCAGGGATCTGAAAGGCAACTGTCCAGTGGAACCTGCTCCGAGAGTCTGCTCCCTGAGCAGATGTCTCAAAATTACTCAGCTAACACATTACAAATTTTGGGGCTTTTCAGAAGAAATAGATATTCATGAGAAACAGTTTTAGCACAAATAAAAAAGGCAATGTAATATGTGTATATATAATATATATAAAATACACAATGGTGTATTATTAAGCCATAAAGAAGAATAGAATCTTGTCATTTACAGTCAATTGGATGGGACTGGAAAGCATTATCTTAAGTAAAGTAAACCAGACACAGAAAGACAAATACTAGGCTGGGAATATGGCTCAGTGGCACAGAGCCTGCCTGGCAAGTGCGAGGTCATGACTTTGATTCCTGGTACCAAAAAAGAAAGAAAGAAAGGAAGAGGGAGAGAAGGAGGGGGAGAGAAAGAGGGAGAGAAGGGAAAGGAAGAGGGAGGGAGGGAGAGAGAGAGGAAGAAAGAAGGAAAGAAAGAAAGGAAGAGAGAAAGATGAATATCATACACGTGTTCTCCCCTGTGTGGAAGCTAAGAAAAGGACTTCAAAATAGAGGAGCGGGTACTACTGCTTGAGAAGAAGTGGAGAGGTAGGCTATAAAAACAGAGGCTAGTTTATATCATATCAAAAAGCCAAATTAATATGTAGTATTAATATGTTAATAAAAATGGATTTATGCTAAATCCATTTATGCTAAAACTATCACTTGCATTTGAAGACAAAGTGTGATATCAGGATGCATGTATTTGTTGATGGATCCTGACACCAGTAAGTGTACAATTTAGAAAAAAAATCGGTCTTTGGATTCTGCATGGACATTGAGTATAGTATGAGAAAGTTTTATAAGGATTAATACATGGTTTAAAGCATTTCAATATTCATAAATGAACATAGCATTGGGTTTATGAGTAATAACTCATGATCTGCATGTAAGTTTCTCTTTTCACAAAGAACATGAAATACTGCTTTTTTTTTTTAATGCCTCATCCATTCTTCTGGATTGGTGGCTATAAAGATGTGTTCCCACCTGTGCACGCGTGCATGAATGGGTGGCTATTCTCAATGTGACTCCGCAGAAGAGTCTATCAATTATTTTCATTTCGTAGCAGAAGAAAACACTCTAATTAATTATTTGCTCCAAACCCATTGTTTGGCATGTACATTCACTGATACCTGTCCCACCTCCAGTGTCACAGCAGGTGTTCTCTCCTATACAGAGCTATGGGACAAACAGGATGGTGGCAGTCCATGAGAGGCAACAGGGTTTCTAATCAGACATCTGTTTCTACAAACAAAGGCAATTAGACTTCTACTTAAGTCACCATTTTGTGCCTTCTGGTTTTGTTCAGTTACCAAACCCATGCCAGTGGTTTCCTTAAAATTATTATACATATAACTGACTAACAAGATTTTGTTAAAAGCTTGGTAGAAACAACTGACTCTTAAGGAGAGCAGGACCAGTGGATCTTTCTCTGTATGATCCATGCCAAGGTAAACCCTCAGGACGTTTTATGTCACTACTAAATTACATTAGTTCCTGGAAGAAAGACCTTCAGCAGCTTATAACTTGGTATCACGACTCTGACTGTTCAACACAGTCAATGAGCCATTTGAAGAATGATTTCATATCTTGTGACAAGAACATCAAAGAACTACAAATAAATTATCTATTTTTTAATGTCATTTGAAGATTGCTATATTCATTTGCAATAATATAATGTAGGAAAACATTTCTCCTAATCCACCATGGCAAGTTTGTATAATTATGTACTAAAAACTACATAACTTTTTGGCTTGGCTGTCAGGACTAACGATCACGTTACCTTTCAGTTGCAGCAACTTTCTGCTGTGACCTAGATTTTCACTCAAGCTTCCTTTATTATGCCTCCAGTTCCTGACTTTTTTTTCTTCCTCTTTCTACTCATCCACTTCACACTTCCAGGTTCTCCAACTAAGTCTTAGCTTAGTTGGCTCTCTGTTCTTAAAGTCTGTCTCTGTCTCTCTATCTGTGTCTGTCTGTCTTTCTCTCCCCTCAAGTTCTTGCCCCTTCTTTGTGCTATTCATTTGCTTATTCCTCTTAACCCTAGTCTCTTAGTGAAGGGATCCTTGGTGTTTTCCTTCCTTTTCTCTACTGAGCTTAGGTGCACCTTATCTATTTCTGATTCTTCTGACCCAGCTCTTAACAGGCACATTTTAAGTATTTTGTTTACTCAGTATAAGGGCATGATGTTACCGCTCACAGAAATGGGAGGTAGCGCCTGGAGGAAGTGGTTTGGGGCCAGAGCAAGGATGTCTGGGAAATGGCTTAAACTGCGATGCTGGGTATTATCATTTCCTTGCTGTGTTCTGCATACCACCAAAAGTCTATGTAACTTATATGCTACATTTAAAGATATGAATGTCAATATATATGTATATATTTTAGATGAAAAATGTGAGAAACCAAGTTATTATATATAGTTTTCAAAATTAAATAGTATTTGTTGGAAAATCAGAAATATAAAAATATGTATAGTCAGATAAAATAATTAAATGTAAACATATATTTGTGATCAGCACAAGTAATTTTATAGAAAGTCTAGAGACTACATATGGAAGGAAGTCATGCTACAAATTTCTAAGATGTTCCCCTGAGTAAGTGTCTTCATTAAAACAATGGCTGAAAATCGAGACTTGCCTCAGTAGAAACTGGCATTTCGCTTGTATATGGTTTTATTTCAACTGTAACATCACTGTACCAACTGTAAGCAAATATTTAAATCTCACAAATTCAAGCACCTTCTGTTTCCTAAGCATTCACACAGTATATATGTGTGCACAGAGGATTTTCACCAAATAAATTGTTTACTAATGCAAGAACTCTGTTTAAAAATAAAAATGATACAATTTTTTATTGAATATGTCATTTCTGGAACCTCAAATAAAAAGGATGAAGATTCTTTCACTTTGCATTGAAAAGTGTTACATTTTTGTTAGTATTTCATTTAAAATTTCTTGGCCTGGAAGACAAAAATTTATGGATATAGATTAACTACTTTAACGATGTGACATCAAAGCAATGAAATATTCCTTTATACTTATGGTGTTACTACGACTACCTTTTCAGGAGAGTAAGGAACAATACAATAAATTCTTGTATAGAAAGTTTTTTCCTACCTCTACTCTTTAGTTTAAATCTCAAAGATAATGTATATTTGCTCAGCAGACTGGTGCCATAAAGAAGTTTGAAACGTGATCATTTACAACAGCTGCATGTGTTTACTGGCTGATTATTATACAAGGAATGATTTAATGTTATATTTTAAAACTTACTTGTTGTCTATTTGGATTTTGCAATATTTTTAAAATTGTTTATGAAAACAATCATTGTCTGAACATTTGCTCTTTGCTGTTTTAGCTCTGCTTTTTGTAAATACAAAACAATCACAACAAATTAAAGGTGATACAACTGTCTGTCCTGTTACATTAGTTTGATGAAATTAGTGGCTGGTAATACTTAGAAAATCACTGGGCTTTCTCAACAGGTTCACACAACAAACCTTTTTTTGCAAACTAAGAGTCATATCCATATCAAGATGCCCAAAATTTTTTTCCTAAAAGAATGCTCCTGAATCTCACCAATGAGTTCAAATATCCTGCTCCAAAAATAGATAGAAATAAGTAGCTACAATGTTATTGTTTATGAGAAAAGAAATCTTACATTTCTAAAATTTTCCTGAGATGATAAACCTGAACTTCTGACAGAGACAGGACATAGATCAAGGACTATTTGGCCTATATGCCCAATGCTCTTTTCTTTTTACTACTGCCTCTTATTGAACTCCTTTGTAAGGAAAAGTCTCCTTGACTTTTTACACCTATCCCTCAGCATACCCTTGTATGTTCTCTATATCAGAAATGGTAGTGATATAAGTTGAATTGTGTCCCCTCAAAATTTATGTTGAAAGTCCCATGCTCCAACATCTTGGAATGTGACCTTATTTGTACAAACTTTACCGAGGGAATCGAGTTTGAAGGAAGTCATTAACTTTGGACAGTCATTAGAAATACCAACATGACTAACAGGCTTACAAAAGAGGAGAAATAGGGACACAGGCATGTATGGAAGAAAGACGATGTAGAGAGGGCTAGAGAAGATGGCCATCTACAAGCCAGAGAGAGGGCTGGAACAGATCCTTCCTTCCCTGACCTCATAAGGAACCATCCCTGCCCATACTTGGCCTTGGATGCCCAGTATTAAATGCCATTCATAGACTTCTGCTACCTAATTTGTGGCAAATGGATATGGTAAGCTATAGAAAAGCTAGATTATGAGATACATGTTCTCTTCAGCTTTCGGTTACCATAACTAAAACCAAGACTTACTAAGAGAAAGGGTTTCTTTTGGGTCACAGGTTTAGACATTTCTATCCATGACGTTGGCCCATTGCTTTGGGGCCTACAGGGAAGCAGAAAATCATGGTAGGAAGCACAGCTCATCTCATTGCCAGGATGTGAAAAGGAGACGAGGAAGTGATGCAGGTCCCACTGTCCTTTCAGGAGTTCATACCCGAGGACCTGAAGGCCTCCGTGACCCACCTACTAAAGACTCCCACACCTGCCAGCAGTGCCAGTCAGGACCTTTGGGGGACATTTTAGTCAACCTGTAGCAATATGCAATGAGGAAATGATGTTGGGTCTACACTGGGAGAGTCAGTTGACAAGCAGGCAACAAGAAAGGAAAGCTTTCGTGGAACTGCAGTAGGAGAGGCTGGGTGACCGTACCCTACATGCGCTGTGTGTCCTCTTAGTCTATACATTCCACCTGTGGGGAATGGTTTTATTTTTGCTCATGGAGACACAAATAAAGCATAGTCAAGGTAAGGAAAAATGGAGTACTTTCTATGTAAAAGAGAAGCCCAAGGAATTTCTTTCTATGTTATCTAATGTTATCCTTCTATCAACTCTCATTCACTGGTTTCTTAAATATATTGTACAGATGAGAAGCCAAGGCTGAAAGAAGTAATTCATCCAAAATAACAGACAGTAAGTTATTCAGGTGGGATTTTAACTTACAAATAAATGTCTCTCTCCCAAACTGTGCCTCATCCTTTTTCTGCAGGTTCCCTCGTTTATACTACTAGGTACCAGTTGATATTATCAGAAGGAATACTTACATACTACACTTGGAGGGTTATACACATAAATCTGAAGAAAACTGCCCAATGCCTTACACTGTCCCTACCATTGTATACTTGTTATAAGTCACAATTATCTGTTCATTTAAGATCTGGATGCCTCACCAGACTCTAAGCTGTTTTTGGTTTCTGCTGCATCTTAGCACCTAAGGTATACCTGACAGAGAGTGCTGAGTTATTTGTTCAATGATTACATTAATAAATATTTGAAGTTAGTTTAGATTTTAATTAGACTTATGTTATGGGCTAAGTAAATTACACACAAATATTCATATACAAAAGTCTTCAACTTCAATGCCTCACAGTAAAACTGACTTTGGAGATAGGGGTTAAAATGAGATCATTAAGGTGGGCTGTCAGTCAGTATGACTGATGTCCTTATAAAAAGAAGCAATGTGGACATGACGCATTCAGGATGGAGGCGATGTGAGGATCTAAGGCTGAGACTGTGCTTACAGGTAAGATGGCACAGACCCTTCTCTTGTCGCTTGCAGAGGAAGCCAGCTGCCCACACTGTAGTCTCAGATTTCTGGCCTCTAGGGCTGTGTGAAAATACATTTTGGTTGTTCAAACAAATAAATCTCCAGGACTTTGTGTGGCAGTCCTAGAAAATGAATACAGTAGGAGCTGGGGATTTAGCTCAATGGCATAAGCACCTGCCTGGCAAGCGTGAGGCCATGAGTTCAGTCCCTGGTACCAAAACAAAACAAAACAACAACAACAAAAGAATACAGTAATAGCTATCAAAAAGTTTATATTAAAATTAATAGCATTCAAAGTTTAAGAAGTGTCCCTGGAACATTATCATTTGTTTTAAAATAAGTCAACTTAATGCATGTTACACACTGCCCTGGCCACTTAACCGAGTCCTGGAAGAGGTTCTATACCAGTCAGTCAGCAATAGAAAAGAGAACTGGTTGTAGACTGCATAGTTTTATAAAGGAATAATGAATTTGAAATGTAATTTGTCAAGAAGGCCTCAATTTTCCCTTTTAAATCAAAAGTCTTTGGCAGGCAGGCAGTAGAAGCGTCGATAGAAATAAATGAAACTAGTTTGAGTTTTGTCATTCTGTTGGAAGCTAAAGAAAGAAAACATAAGAAGTCCAAGTTCAAGAGCAAAGTAGCCAAGTCTGCTATTGGCAGAATTTATAGCAGGTAAAAGAAAGGTGGCAAAGTGGCTTCCCAACTGAGCTATGATGACAGACCATGTGATTCCTCCAAAAGCTTCCTGTTGTGGCTCTCCTAAAGGTGCAGCTGTGATAATGTTTACATCTTAAGGAATTAGGGAGGAGTCACTACTACATGACAGCTCATCCTTCACAGGAACTGACCCTGTTTCAAACTCTAAAATCCATGTATTTTATTTGCATTCATTTGCTTTTCTTAAAAATGACAAGCAAGGAAGATTCTGCTGTGTTAATGTCAGGATTTTGCTATTTTTAAGTGCTTTTTTAAATTGGAAAATAAACAGAAACACAAGAATGATATGGGTTTATACTATATTCTGAATATTGGTTAACTACACAGAGGTATATAAATACCCTAATTGCAATTGTAAATTACAATTGTGCACAGCCCACATACTATACTACATGTTGTGCAGGAAAAGAGACATATGGCAGGTGTCTTCACTTACTGAACTATATTACAGCTCTTTCACATTAATGGGCATCTGATCCTTAAAAAAAAACCCAAATGCTAATTTTACCATTATCTTTCTCACCCAGTACGTGTCCTTTTAGACAATTGTCATTCTTTTATGGAAACTACAAATGTGACTAAAAATAATGTGATTATGTTTAGCTTTTTAAATACTGCTTTGAAATGAAGAATTAGTATTTTAGAGACATGATGAAGATGATTTTTGACAAAATATTTCTTGGGTTATTAAATAACTACGCAATATAGAAAGAATTCTAAAACAGTACCACCATGTATAGTTATAAAACATATACATATATGTTTTTCTGCCATGTAGCATATGTCTTTAAAACATGTATCAAAATGGTACAGCTTATTAAGATGTTTTGCCTCATTCAATGATCTACTCTGTAACTCTGGCTGTCAATAACTGTGGACCTACACCACAGTTTTAACTGTACATGGAGTTCTATTTAATTTACTTAACCTTTTACTGAACATATATGTTGTTTTTAATTTCTTGCTTCATTTTTTAAAATGCTGTAACGATTTTTATTGCTAAAGTCTCACACATAGTTATTTTCTTAAAAAAATTCTTAAAATTTGAAACAATGGCCCAAAGGGACTGCATACTTTAAGCTCTTTTCATATGAATTTCAGAATTGCCTTTGTTGTGGGCTGCACCAGATCTCATTCCAATGAATGAAGTTCTCAAATACTTGTTTCTGCTATTTTTCTCATCATCAGTACCATGCTGTTTAAGTAGGACAAGGTCACATGGTTCTATCTTTAAATCTCACTTGTGTTCTTAAATTTTATTCTGTTAGTCTAGAATCACTTTGTCTAAACTACTAACCCTATATTTCACTGGGATTTTATTGCAGTAGCACTGTAGTTTTCACTTTAAAGCACTGTTTTACATGGATAATACCACTATCTACTCTAAGATGAATTCATCATGAATACTTTTTGCCAAGAAAACCAATACTATTGAGTAAGCAAGACTATTTCTAGAAGAGAGGTAAAAACAAAAATGGCTCTTCTGAAAAGGAAATTCCATTGAATGGTTCTAGTATAATAAGAATGTACAGACTATGTATTTCAAAATATGAAATTATAGAAAGCGGATGCTAATTCAAGAAAAAATAATGGTTTGGAATAAGGAAAGCTATCAATCCTTCATATATTCTTAGACAAAAGTAGGAAAAGGAGAAATTGATATTAATAGTAATTTAATTAAGGTCCTCAGAATGATGAAAATATAAAAACAATAAAGTTAATTATGTAATATTTGGTCCAAACTTGAAACACATCAAAAATCATTCAAGGCTTAATACTACACTGAGCTAGATATCCAGAAAATACAGATTTTCAAACAAACAGAAACTGCCCATTGGATAGGTCAAGAGAAAACTACTGAAAGTAAGTCAGACAAAGGGAAGGTGATTCTCAAGGACTAAAACTCTGTCCAAAGTGTCATGATCCACTTTGAAAACCTGATGAAGGCTATCAACCATCTTGAAAGGAAATGCACATACACACATAAGCACACTACTCCACTTATATTCTGATGGCGCTCGGCATCTTCAGGCTAGGAGTATCTGCCCTGTCTAAAAGAAACACAAGGTAATGGAAACTTTTAATAAAAACACATTTTGAAAATGATGGCAAAGTTTTACAGTCTTCAGTTTTTAAATGGAGGTGGGAGGAATCCAACAAATCTGAAGACTGGCCTGCTGCTGACATCAGCCTCTAGTAACTACTAGAGGGCAAGCATCAGGAGCAGCATCAGTGGTGTCTCTGTTAATGGAATATTGTTCAGTTATAAAGAGGAAACATGTGTGGCACAACACAGATAAACTTGGAAAAGGTGCTGAGTAAAATAAACCAGATACAAAAGGCTAAATATTATGTGATCCCACTAATATGAAATGTCTAGAATAAACAAACTTGCAGAGAAATAAAGTAGATTCAATGTTACCAGGGGCTAGGAATGGGGAAATAGTTATTGCATAGGAAGTACAGGGTTGAAGTTTGGGGAAAGTATCCAAATGTTGGGGATGGAGAGTGATGATGGTTCCATGCTGTGAATGTCACTGAGTCACCAAAAGGAATTTATACATAAAATGCCTGACAGGAAATTTTAAGCTATATACTACACACACCAAAATACAGGTAAAAGATTAGCTTCTCTATAGTCACAGGAAGAGAACACTAAATGGAGGCATCAGTGAAGCCTGATCTTGTGTGAGGTGAACTTAGCCAGGGACCTGAGGTCAGATCAGGATGTAGGTCGCCCTGTCTCCCACTCTCAGCTCCACACAGCAGTTTTCCAAGCAGCCACCAGGAAACAAAAACAAATCACAAGCAAAGTAAGTACAATCTAAATGCCATTAGGAAAAAAGAAATAAAAGTAACCAGAAGAGCATAGGGAAACTATTAATAAAAATGAAACAAAATCAATTAGAGAACAAAAGCATCAGCAAATAGAATAAAAGTAGAAAAGCTTCTCTTTTGGAAATATCTATAAACAGGACATGCAGGTATGTGGGGTCTGAAAAAAAAAAAAAAAGAGTACTCCCCGTCCCCTGTTGGTGTTGGAGATTTAATCTGGTGTTGGAGATTTAATCTGGAGTCTTGGGCATGCTAAGGAGACGCTCTACTACTGAGCTATGTCCCCAGCCCTAATGTATGATAATCGAAACTGACCAAAATGGAAACCGAGGAAGACCAGTTTCTAAGAGGTTGGAAAAGTGATTTAAAATGGACAATGGCACAACCATCATGAATGTTAGATAAACAATCACAAACATCCATTCAAAAACCTATCTGTGCACAAACAAAGTGTGAACGATTCCCAAGGCACAGTCTAGATGGAACTAAAAACGGACGTGTGCTGGAACCAGGCCGAAGCTACAGCTCTCCACTTTGCCTAGCTCAGCAACAGAGGGGTTGAGAACAGAGCAACACAGTGGCAGGAGAAAACCCCGCCGCACTGCATAAGGTGGAGGGCCGAGGTGAGCCCACGGCAAGCACAGGAATTAGAGAGCTGGAGACAGCTGGCTGCCTCTGCGAGGGCTCTGGACACTCCTTTCCTATTGGGTTCTCAAGCCTCTCCCCAGGGGCAACGATTATGCCTGGTTTTGTGTTTGCATTGGCTAGGGTTCTGCTATAATAATAATTAATAATAATAATAACAATAAGTGGTATTATACAGTAGTTGGTGACTTGAGTTTTTCACCCAATATTGTGTTTATGTGAAAAAAAAATTAAACACGATGTTTCCCGAACACCACATGAAACAGCAGACGCAATCTTCAGTTCATAATAAAGACAGAAAGAGACTATTGAAAACACTTGTATATTGTAATATATCTTAAAACCTAAAGCCATTTTTTAAATAAAGGGAAAAACACAAAGCATCAATAAACTTCCCTCCCAAATTTCTTAAACAATTCCCACCCAGATCCCAAACTGTGTATGCGTAAATTCCTGGCCCCGGCCTTCTTTCTTCTTCCCCCTCCCCTCAGGTGGAAAGCCTCGGCAGGCCCAGGGAGGAAGCTGGGGCAGACAGAAAGACTTCCCCTCCAGGCAAGGGCGCAGAGGGGTACAGGGGGGTAAGGTAGGACCCCCCATAGTGGAGGAAATCGATATGCAGCCCAGGTGCCAGGGGAAAGCCCCCAGGTGGCCCTGGAGCCAGGGGCCCAGCTGCTCCTGTATTCTCCTGTCGGGAGGCATAGTGGGTCAGTGGGCTGCAGGTCTGGCTGCGAAGACAGAACCACATCTGCACCAGCTCCTTCCTGAGGCGGAGGTGCCCAGCGATGCAGCTTATCTGCTGGGGGGTGGGGTTCGGGCACTGCAGGAAGAGTCTCTCCAGGTCATTCCGGAGTCTTCTCTCCCTGTGGGCCTGTCTTCGCTTCCGGCCCTGCTGCAGAATCATCTCCATTTTCCATAGGCCTCGGTGGTTCTTGGCATTCATCTCCGCCAGCCACATCTTCAGCAGCGGCCCCACCTTCCACATTTTGGCAAGGCTGAGCTGCTGGGACTCAAAGCGGCAGATGGTCGTCTGGCTGAGCATCTCCCCAAACATAGCGCCTACGGCGACGCCCACATCCGCCTGCGAGTAGCCCAGGGTCAGCCTCTTCTGCCGCAGCTCCTTGGCCAGCTGCTCCATCTCCTTCTCTAAGGCTGAGATGTCCTCGGGCAGCGCCAACTTCGGGGTGCTCAGCAGGGCAATGCAGGGTTTGAGGCCAGCAGGCTCGGAGGGGCTGGGGAACCAGGGTCCTGCCTCGCCAGCTCTACAGGGGGGCAGCCCTCCTGGGAATTCGCAAGGTGCGGGGCCCAAGGGGACACCCCACATCTCAGGGCCTCGGCAGATGGTTGGCCCGACCCCTTGCCAGACCATCAGTCTGCCAGGGGCCACCTGGACGTTCACACAGCTGGGAAAGTCAACCCACAGGGGCATTGTCCCAGGGGGCCCACCCCTTCCACTGTCTGGAAGGCATAAATCTGGGGCCCTGTGTCCAGCCATGGGGTAGGGCACCAACCCCCAGTAAGAGTCTGGTAGGAACCGATGGCTCTCGAGGCTTTGGAACAACCACCCTCGTCCTCGAGCCCCGCCCTGCAGTGGGCGGAGATGACGTTGCTAGCAGGAGAAACTGAGGCTGCGGGGGAGGCAGGAAATTTTAAAACATCCACTCACTGGCTCCTCGGGGTTAAGGGCAGGGACCCCTGACTCTGACTTTTGCTCCCAGCTCCCACCAAGGTGCAAAGCTTTAGCTGGGGTCCCTTTGTCACTCCCTCCATCCTATCTCTACACGAACTCCTGGTATTTATCAGTTGTTCAGAAACTCAGAGGTGTAATAAGATTCCTCCCACATGCTGTGAACTACCCAGTGGGCCTCACAAATACATGAAACATCCACAGTCAGGTACTGCTGGATTCCCTTCCATTCATTACTCTGCTCAAGCACTGCCTCAGTCCCTCCTTTGCACACCCTCAGTTCCTGCATGCTTAGAAACCCACACACCTGTGCCTGACTGTCTAGTTAACACCGGTTTACTGCCTCAGATTCCACCCTGCCCCCACACCTGTCACATTCTACTCCCTCACTGGGTGCCTTCTTAACTAATTCCATGTTTCCTCCACCAGCCCTGTAAGTGCTTTGTTTCTCCTCTCACTTTAGCTTTCTGATCCAGTTTCCCTGTGGAACAGAGACCACAGTTGAGGATGCTCCCTGCAATCAGCTCACCACAATTAGGCTCCTATATCCATGGACTCCTTGTCTCATGAGAGCCCCAAGGATCTTAATTTGTAAATCCCAGTCATCCTCCTAGCTCAGAAATTGAATCTGAGACCTTAGGTGGAGAAAGCTAAGAAGGGAGAGGAAAGAAGAAATGTGACATAAGGTTTAAAGCTCCTAAGAAAGAGGAGGACAATGACTTTGGCTGGACAATCTCAACATCTTACCCCTTCACTCTTTAAGCCAGCACTGTCTACACCCCTATCTACTGAAATCAATCTTCTGAAAGTCACTAATGACCTTCTGACAGTCAAATCTTAAAAATCTTCATCTTACTAAACTGCCTTCCAGTATCCAACCATGCTGGTTACTCTTTTTGCTCCTTTTCCTCTTAAAATTTCTGTGAAATGCTAGTAACTGCCAAATTTGTCCCAGCCATGACGGGCCTTCTGATTTTTACTGCCTCAAATCCAATTCATTTCCTGTGTCTATAAACCTGCCTACTCCCTAGCAACATCTGAGCAGGTCAATGGTATGTCCGTCCACTCAGCTACCCAAACTTCAACTCAGGTACTGGAGTTCAGTTTCTGAACTCTTCCATAATCCACGAGGCATCAAGTCTTATATGTATACTGGTTCTCCTAAACCGTCTCAACTCTACCATCTCCACTCTAGCTAGCATCTCATCTGGCTGATCCAGTATAACCCACATAATTTCTTATCTAAATTACCACAATAACCTTATAGTTGGCTTTCTGTGCTTCTCCTTTATGTTCATCTTGCATACTGCTGCTAGAGAGGATTTTCCGAGAACCTAAGGAAACCTAGCCAAACCCAACCAAACCTAACAAAAATCTAGCTATTTGTCATTTTTCTCTTAAAATGTCTTCAAAATCTAGTACATCTTCTTGTTATTCAGGATTTGCTCAAATATTCTCTTACTAAAGAGGCCATTCCTGACCACTGTTTAAATGGTACCTGTTTGACACTCTGTTCTCTTTCTTTATCTATGTTACACCCATCTCTACCTTACACAGATTTGTCTGTTTATTGTGTTTCTCTATACAAGAGGGTGGGGACTTTGTCTAGTCCCCTGCTGTGACTATAGTACCTACAATAGGTCATAGGACACAGAAGGTGCTAGTAAATGTGTGCTGAATAAATGAAGCACGATGTACTTCTACCTTGAAGACTCAGTTGGGTTGCGACTTATGTGAGTTAGTTACAAACATTCTATACAGACAAGTTTGTTACTGCTTTTTGTGTGCTCCCCTTGTACATCACGTAAGATTTTTAGTAACAATATTACTACTAGGGAATATCAGTAATCATTAGTTTTATATCTCTGTCTCTCCAAATAGCATGGGAGACATGCATGAGTTACAAAGTCTGAAACATAATAGAACCTTGGGTGATACAGTGCTCAACAACTGTTTTCTGAATAAATGAGTGAATCTTTATCTGCACAACTCGGAAAGGAAGCTCCTTTAATTTGTTTAACACTGAGAAACTTGACTTCACTAGGTACCACTGTTCTCTCTTATATTAGAAAAAGGCCCTTCTACACCTCTTCCTAGGTGACAGAGCAACATGAGACTAAATCAAATTCAGCAGTACAAGTAACGAGATTGGAGATACGGCCTTGAAACAAGGTAAAGAGAGAAGAATCTGAAAACCAAGTGGCTGTGTATGGGATCCATCTGTCATCTGCACCTCACTGCAACCCCTGTGAGAGTGCTTACTAAGGCAGGGTTCTTACCCAACTTGTTCACTGCTAGATCTGCAGACCCAGTGCTATACATTGGACATGTAGTGAAAAGTCAAGAAATATTTGTGGTGAAATAAATGACCCTTTGTACCATTAATGATGAAAAGTCTTCTGATTTTCCAGAAATTGTATTTCAACTGCAAGTTGATGAAAAAAGTTTGCAATATTCAGAATTCTACCTAAGAATAATTTTGCCATTATCTACTTTTTCCACATATATCTACCTACTGTTTTTCTCAAAATCACACAGCAGCCAGTATCTGCTAAACAGAATGAAATGTGGATCACAGACAAAAGTAAAAAGAAAGGACATACCTGCCGGGCTGAATATATGCGTGCTACAGTGAGCTGTTTGTATTACTGAAAGCTCTAAAAGGTTCCCCATCACTGCTATACATTAAGGGTCACATAGTGAAAACACCCTATCTTCATAAGGACCACCAGAGAAAAGGTTCATTAGTTGTTTAAAGCCAGGTTAAATAAAAATATTTTTAGTGAATTGGAAATAATGAGTTCAAATGAACCTGAGCTAAGCTTTATCAGATTAGTTAAAACACAGTAGCTGAAAACAGTGACTAAATGAAAAAGTAAGACTATATTAATTTGATCTTGGCTGCTCTCAATTAAGGCTTTCTTCGTGCCTGGTCAGATTTCATGTGCATCTCCTGATTTATGCATATGAGCTGTCACAAAGCAAGTCCCTATTTTCATAGAAAGTCTCGACATCTCCTTATAAATGTATTTAATGTGCCTTGGAAATGAACTAATTAGAGAAAATAAGAAGCATATATGCTTGGAAAAGAGACTGACATCAGGGATAGAAAGCTGATGGGAATGCCCAAGACAACCAGTGCTGCTTGGGCAGGGAACTTCAGAAGGCTAATCCATCACCTTCGGCAAATACAGAGACCTCTGAGTAAGTGAGTAGATTACTGTGTAAGAATCAGGCTAGTCTTACCATAGGGAATTAGAAAATAAGGATAAGAAATCCATAATCCCTGGCCACATGTATTTAAGATCTAAATATGGGACAACATCAATGGTAAGGTGAACAGAATGACTGTACTAACCTGAGAGAAGTGTTTTCTATTATGAAGGTCTCTGAAATTAAAAAGTTTTCCTGAAATAGTTGTTTTAAGTAGAAATGTACGAAGTATGAACATTTGGATTATTAAGCTCTCCTTAAATAACCCGTACTCTCAGAAGGCAAAAGCAACTGCCATGATCCACTTACGGTAAAAAGCAGGAAAGGGAGGTGGCAGAATTAGTAACAAGTGTCCTTGCAGGGTTTAGTCATTTCTTTGGAAAGTCTTCCTTATGCACTCTGGAGCAGAGTCCCTGCCTCTGAACTCACGTACTTTTCCACTCACACATATTTGCTGCCTTAAACAGTTAGTTGGAGGTTCGTATTTTAGTCTTCTAGCTAGGGGATATAGAACCTGCCAAATGGATATTTTTAGATACAATTTACTTTGTACTTAGGTACCCAGTAAAGCACCACAGCATGGACTAACCACAGTGCTCCTAGGATGGCATGTTCATGAAAAATACATGGCCATGAGGGTGATCTGCCTTTAATTTGGTGTCATCTTGTGGGCAAGCTACTGTGTGCCTAAAAAGGAAAGTATTACTTTACTTCTCCAAATGCATCTTTTCCAAAGCTGGTCATGATCCACATGGAGAAAGACTGGGCTTTGTTCCATGGTGTATGAGAACTTCTACTTCTGTAATAGTCTCAAAATATATACAACAACAAAAACACATTTATTTGCAATTAAATCAGTAGAGCTGAACAGAACAGCTCTAAGAATGATGGCCAGGCCAGAGAGAAAAAGGCAAGGTGGACTGGCTAGTACTGGTCTTTCTTGTTGTCCTTACTCCATAGGCGTCCTAGGAAGTGAGCACTGACCAGGCACACGGCATGGTGTGAAAGCACAGCCCTCAGAAGGGCAGGAATCAAGACAATCACTGGCAGCTGAGTATTTTGAGGAACAATCCCTCCTACTCTACGCTGAGAGAGTTAACATCACACATTATAATAAGTTACTTCACTGAAAACTACCTCAAACTACAATGAAATAATTAAACTCTTGATCCTTAGTGTGGATGTTTAATTACTGAACTTTATAAAGCAAAGGGGGGCATTAAAGTTAAGTTATGCAAGTAAGAAAAACTAATAAATTAAAATTATAAAAACATGAAAGTTGTAACTCAGAGAAAGAGCTAATCAAATCAATGTAGCTGTTAAATAGGCTGATTCATTGCTGATTATCAAAATAGGGAACAACAGCAGTGTTCTGCACAGGGGACAGCAGAGGACAACAGGAGTGAAGGGAGAGCTTTAATGTTGTGCAATATTAGAGAGAAGCTGGAAGGCAGCAAAGGGACCGACATTTGATTTTCTGCATTTTAAGAGGCTGGGATATAGCTCAGCGGTACAGCGCCTGCCTCACATGCCTGAGGCCTTGGGTTCAACCCCAGGACTACAAAGAAAAGTCTCAAAAAATAAAATCCCAAAAAACTTTGGACTAAGATTATGAAGAAATTTGTTTTAGATACTCCTTTTGGTTGTCATTCTTTTTATTATCTTTAAAATCTTTGTTGTGACATAATCTCTGCTTAGAAATAAGTGCTCATGACTATGTAACTCAATTACACAGTGAGACACCACAAAGAGGTGGAGAGTATTCAGAGAAAAAGCCCATATTTTATTTTGTGTGAGATATTTAAGAGCTATGGAATTCCTTTGCTATAAAATGATGCCATGTATAAAAGCCTACAGCCTTCCCAGAGGCCTTCCTGAATTTTAACTGTCTGTCTAAAGCAGAAGGAGAAGTTCAGCTGAGTGGCACTGAGTTGAAAGGCACTGTGGTGATGAGTCAGGTGTATTCATAGCCAGTCAGAGATAGAGAGTTGAAAGGTTCTTGTTATGCCAAGCATGATTTAAACAAACTTTTTAGCTGAGTTTGCCCTTGTTCTAGAAGAAAAGCTGTAAGGATGTTCTGGCATTGATTACTCCAGTCAGAGTGCAGTCACTGTATTCTACATTCAAATCTTCACTCTGCCTCCACTTTAAAACAGGAGATGCACAACCGGCTTAAGGAAAAATTTTCCGTAAGGCTGCACAGCAAAATGCTCCTAACAGGATGACAGCTTATGACCAACGAAATCAATAATTCAGGATGGAATGTGGGCTTGGACAAGCAGGACAGAGTTTCTGTTTATAGCAGATAACTGTTTTAGGAGTTAGGAGGCTTAAAAAAATTTTTTTTTAGAAATTCCAATTAACTGACTTTGATGCTTGTACCTTCACAAGTTTGGGGCCTCTGTGAATTTCCTTGTGATCTCTTTAAGAAACCATGAGCTGAAGCAAGCCAAATAGTCACTCATGCTTTTTTGCAAAAATGAACTCTTATTTTAAGTAGCATTAAATGCACAATGACACAGGAAATTCAAAAGGTAATAGGCGTCTAAACAGTAGAAGCCGGGATTTATTTATTTAGATTGAAACTTTTTTCTTTCAGCATTTTCAACTTGAAAAAGCTTTTGCAAGCTCATCAAACTCAGATGCCTTGCTAAAGCACCTCACTTTGATTTCAGAGTCGAGGAGGAAACTGACCAGGCTGCTAGCTTCCCTTGGGACCCTGACACATGCCCAAATCAAACTGTCCAGAGCCAACTGCTCCAGCTCTCTGCAGCCGGCTCTTCATTCTATGCATGTGCAGAAAACAGCAGGTAGGTAAGGGTTTTATCTTCAGCCTCAGAACTCTAGGAAACAATTACATCAAACCAAAGTGAACAGAAAACTAAAAGCAAGTTTTCCATTATCACTATTTAATATAAAGTTTATTTTTTTGAATATTCAACTATACACCCACCTGACTCAAGAAATGCAAAATATATATAATGAAAATACACAATCGTTGTGAGTGTTAAGTGGTCAATTTCCAGTTAGCATTTTATATTTTGCTTACATGAAATTTTCTGTAATAATTTAAATTTAAGAATAGTAGTCTTTTATGACTGACAGAAATGTAGATGAAAAGTAAGGAGGTAAGCAATGAATTCAAAGAAGTTCCTTTACGCATATGTCCTAGGGCAGGTGTCAGTCTGAAAGGAAGGCAATATATTAAAGAACTGACGGGCTTTCAGGATTGAACGGGAGTATGGAAGAATAGGATATTAATAGGAGGAAGAATAAAAGAGAAGGTCTTAGTATGGAATTTAAGTAGGAGACTTAGGAGAGTGAAGAAATAGGTCACAATACTGAAAAGTACTAAAATAAAGAGGTTAAATACTGTACTTTCATGGAGGATATATCAGTAGCCTAGCAGAATAACTTAGACAAGACATGGCTCAACTAGAACAGAGATAACCTAGAGAATGCAAAGACAGAAGCAGGAGAAAAATTCAAATATTGAAAAGCAGTGAACAATAGTCATAAAATTACAGCATTTGATTTACTGGACAAAATAATTGCTAATAAAAGCAACAATACAAAGTTCTCATTTTGCACAGTATGTGGCGCTATAAAAATGAGGCTACAAGCTGAAATCATGCAAAGTGATCACAGTATCTGAATAGGAGCAATTATAATTGTTCTGTGGCCTTTAAAATGCATTGGTCAAACTGTTAAAAAAAAAACCCTACTTCATATCACCTAAAGACGAACACAAGAAAGTAAAATTCATTTTATTAAGTGTACTGTAGTTTAAGACATTAGAAAGAATAAGAATTAAAGTGCTCTGTAAAAATTATTTAAAGTAATTTGAACAGTGCTTGCTGACTTCTTGCCGAATAACTTAAAGTTTAAGCATATCATTTGTATGCCTGGGCAAAATGTCACCTCTCTAGGGTTGGATCAGGTCCCCCACACTGCATCCTTTGCACTTTCACCACAGTTAAGCTATCTCTGACAGTGCGTTTCATGCACAGGTGTACTGCTGTGGTCGCTGTGTTTCAGTCAGCTGAATCTGTGCTTTCTCTGTGATGTGTTTAACCTTTTCATCATAAACACTCTCCAATTTCATTCATACTACTTCATTCCTTTGCTGAACTTCCACTTTTGTTGGGTTAGGCTCATTTTTGTTAACAATTTTTATAAATTTTTTATAAAATAGGAGATAGTGCTATTTGTGTGTCCACTGAAATAAGGCATAATATAACCAGTGACAGATTTTGAAAGAAGTGATAATAATTGGCCATTGATTATGAGTGTCTGTGTGTGTGTTATTTACATGCGGAATGTGGACAGCAGTAGGGCTAATGGCAAAGTATGTACTTAATGCAGTTCCTCACAGCTAATATTATTGTAGTAACTAAAATTTCAACTTTTTAAAGTTTTTTAAATTTTTATTTTAAAGAGAATAAAATCAAAGAAAACAAAGCTGAATAAAGCCAACCAGAAACAAAACAATCAAAGCAATACAAGACTTCAAAACAGCTGTTTAGCTGCCGCGCCTGGCCACAGGTCTGCAGAGGAGGAGCTGGGCAGATCCGGGGTGCCCTCACTGGCCTCTCTGCGTGTCTGGAGGACTCTGGATTTCTGCGCCCAGACTGCTGGAGTTCCCTCAGGCTTCCAGGTGCAGTGAAGGAGAGAGGTGGGTTTGAGGCTTCCACATTAGCCTCCCCATTCCAGGCTTCATTTGGAGACCTGCTGAGCTCCCGATAGGTGGGCTGGCCCACACAACCAGCCTAGCCCAGCCTGTTTAGCAGCCGCGCCTGGCCATAGGTCTGCAGAGGAGGAGCTGGGCAGATCTGGGGTGCCCTCACTGGCCTCTCTGCGTGTCTGGAGGACTCTGGATTTCTGCGCCCAGACTGCTGGAGTTCCCTCAGGCTTCCAGGTGCAGTGAAGGAGAGAGGTGGGTTTAAGGCTTCCACATCAGCCTCCCCATTCCCGGCTTCATTTGGAGACCTGCTGAGCTCCCGATAGGTGGGCTGGCCCACACTACCAGCCTAGCCCAGCCTGTTTAGCTGCCGCGCCTGGCCACAGGTCTGCAGAGGAGGAGCTGGACAGATCTGGGGTGCCCTCACTGGCCTCTCTGCGTGTCTGGAGGACTCTGGACTTCTGCGCCCAGACTGCTGGAGTTCCCTCAGGCTTCCAGGTGCAGTGAAGGAGAGAGGTGGGTTTAAGGCTTCCACATCAGCCTCCCCATTCCCGGCTTCATTTGGAGACCTGCTGAGCTCCCAATAGGTGGGCTGGCCCACACTACCAGCCTAGCCCAGCCTGTTTAGCAGCCACGCCTGGCCACAGGTCTGCAGAGGAGGAGCTGGGCAGATCTGGGGTGCCCTCACTGGCCTCTCTGCGTGTCTGGAGGACTGTGGATATCTCTGCAACCAGGGAGGGTCCACAGGTTCCTGAAGCACTGCGGCCTGTGGTGAGTACCCTAACCCGGCTGCGATTGAAGAACTGTGGAGCTTCCAAGGGGCAGGTGGGCGCACAGTGTCCCTGAGGCCCAGCTTGTCTGGAACTGCGGAGTTCTGAGCAGGCAGAGGAGGGCCACTGGTTCTGTAGGCCTAATGGCTTGGAGTAGCGCGGCACCAGAGTCCCAGTAGCTCCAAACATAGAAGGGGATTTTCAACAGATCCTGAGGAAGCTTTCAAGTAACACTTGAAACACAGAAATATAGGAAAATGACAAAACGAAAGACCAAATTACAACCTCAAACCTCCAGCCCATCTCAAGAAACCCTAGGAGCGATGTATATAGAAGAAAATATATCCCATCCACCTCATATATCGGACACAATAGCCACTGAAATTGACAAGCAACTCCAGGAAGCTTTAAAGAAATTCAAACTCGAAATAATCTCCCAGATAAAAGAAGAAATGATAAAAGAAATGAAAGAGATTCTAAATATATCTAAAGAAAACACAGATAAAAAATTGGAGGAACTAAACAAAAAGATAGAATCCCTAGACGAGCAATATAAGAAACAAACAGAATACATAATGCAGATGCACAGAGATATACAGGAAATAAAAAACTCCACTGAAAGTTGTAAAAACCGCCTTAATGAAAGTGAAGATAGAATTTCAGACCTTGAAGACAGGATTGCAGCTAGTGAACAGGAAAGGAAAGATCTTTTGAAAATAACAAGGAACCAGGAAACAACAATTCAACAACTGCAAGACGATGCAAAGAAGAATAACATAAGAATGATAGGGATTAATGAAAGAGAGGGAGACAACATGAAGGATGTCAGGAGGATATTTAGAGAAGTAATAGCTGAAAATTTCCCAAGCATGAGATCAGAAACTGACATCAGGATCAGTGAAGCATATAGAACTCCAAACAGTCATAACCAAAATAAAACTACACCCAGACATATAATAGTCACCATCCCAGAAATTCAACACAAGAATAGATTATTAAAAGCTGTCAGAGAGAAAAGACAAATCACTTATAAAGGAAAACCTATCAGAATCACAGCAGACTTCTCAGCACAAACGATAAAGTCAAGAAGAGCATGGAGTGAAGTATTCCAGATCCTAAAGCAAAATGATTTCCAGCCAAGACTGATATATCCTGCAAAACTATCATTCAAAATAGATGGTGCAATACGATACTTCCATGACAAAGAACAGCTGAAGAACTTCATGAACACCAAACCAACCCTGCAAAAAATATTGAAAGACAGTTTAGATACACAAAGGAAAAAACCACTAAGCAAAGCAAATAATTAAACAGAACCGAAAGATAAAGATGCAACAGCAGAGAGATAACATTCCTACAATTAACCAGCATTTAACAGTAATAACCATTAATGTAAATGGTCTCAATGTGCCAATCAAAAGAAACAGACTAGCAGAATGGATCAAGAAACAAAATCCAACCATATGCTGTTTACAGGAAACCCATCTAACCCAGAAAGATACTCACAGACTGAAAGTCAAAGGATGGAAAACAATTCTTCATGCAGCAGGAATCCAAAAAAAGGCAGGAGTAGCCATTCTGTTTGCAGACAACGTGAACTTTAAACCAACAATGACCATAAAGGACAAAGAAGGTCACTACATACTCGTAAGGGGAAAACTCCAAGAGGAAGAGATAACTATCTTAAATATATACGCACCAAACTCCAGAGCACCCAGTTATATAAAACAATTATTAACAGAAATGAAAACTCAAATTATCAGTAACACAATTGTAACAGGAGACCTTAATACACCACTGACACCAAGGGACAGATCAACCAGACAGAAAATGAGCAAAGAAATAACAGAACTGAATCACACCTGTGAACAAATGGGTTTGATAGACATATACAGAATGTTCCACCCAACAACATCAGAATACACATTCTTCTCAGCAGTACATGGATCATTTTCTAAAATAGACCATATATTAGCTCACAGAACATATTTAAGCAAATGCAAAAGAGTTGAAATCATCCCTTGCATATTATCGGATCATAGCGCTCTGAAATTAGAAATTAATGACAAAGGATACTGCAAAAATTCCGCAAACACATGGAAACTAAATAACACACTCTTGAGTAATCAGTGGGTCACAGAAGAAATTAAAGAAGAAATTAAACAATACCTAAAAGAAAATGAAAATGCAGATACAACTTACCGGAATCTGTGGGATGCAATGAAAGCCGTTCTGAGAGGAAAATTTATTGCACTGAGTTCCCACATCAGGAAAACAGAACGAATACAAGTAAATAACTTGATGCTACACCTCAAACAGCTAGAAAAAGAAGAGCAAGTCAAGCCCAAAGCCAAAAGAACAGAGGAAATTATAAGAATCAGAGCAGAAATCAATGCAATAGAGACTAAGAAAACAATCCAAAGAATCAACGAATCAAAGAGTTGGTTCTTTGAAAGAATAAATAAAATCGATAAGCCCCTAGCCAACCTTATTAAAAAAAGGAAAGAAAAAGCTCAAATTCATGCAATAAGAAATGAAAAAGGAGAAATCACTATAGACCCAATAGAAATACAGAGGATCATCAACACCTATTTCGAAAACCTCTACTCTCAAAAGTTTGATAACACAGAAGAAATTGACAGATTCTTAGAAGCATATGAAGTACCAAAGCTAGATCAAGAGGATATAAAACTGTTGAATAACCCAATCTCTGCTAATAAAATTGAGAATGTAATTGGGTCCTTGCCCACCAAGAAGAGCCCAGGCCCAGATGGATTCACTGCAGAATTCTACAAGAAATATAAAGAAGACCTAATGCCGACACTCCTCAAACTATTCAATGAAATTGAAAGGGAAGCAATCCTTCCTAAGTCATTCCTGGAAGCAAATATTACTCTAGTACCAAAACCTGAGAAAGACCCAACTATAAAAGAGAACTATAGACCGATCTCCCTAATGAACACAGATGCAAAAATCCTCAATAAAATATTGGCAAATAGGATCCAGCAAATCATCAAGAAGATTATACACCATGACCAGGTGGGATTCATCCCAGGAATGCAAGGATGGTTCAACATACGCAAATCAATAAATGTAATCCACCATATCAATAAAGCCAAAAATAAGAATCACATGATCATCTCTATAGATGCAGAAAAAGCCTTCGATAAGGTCCAACACTTATTCATGATAAGAACTTTACAGAAAATTGGAATAAATGGTCTTTAACTCAATATAATAAAGGCCATTTATGACAAACCAACAGCCAGCATCATACTAAATGGCCAAAAATTGAAAGCCTTTACTTTAAAATCGGGTACAAGACAAGGATGTCCTTTATCACCACTCCTATTTAATATAGTACTGGAAGTACTAGCCAGAGCAATTAGGCAAGAAAGAGAAATAAAAGGGGTAAAGATAGGAAAAGAAGAAGTTAAATTATCATTGTTTGCAGATGACATGATACTCTACATAGAAGACCCCCTAAACTCCATTGAAATACTCTTAGATACAATAAATAAATTCAGTAATGTGGCTGGATACAAAATCAATACTCAGAAATCAATAGCATTCCTATACACGAACAACAAAATTACAGAGAGGGAAATAAGAGAAACTGGACTATTCACATTAGCAAGCAAAAAAATGAAATATTTAGGAATTACTCTTACGAAAGAAATGAAAGACTTATACAGTGAAAATTATAATACACTGAAAAAGGAAATTGAAGATGATCTCAGAAAATGGAAAGACATCCCTTGCTCATGGATAGGAAGAACAAACATTGTGAAAATGGCCATTCTCCCAAAACTGTTATACAGATTCCATGCAATCCCAATAGAAATACCATCAACATACCTTATAGATTTAGAGAAATCACTCCTAAATTTCATCTGGAACCAGAAGAGACCTAGAATCGCAAAGGCAATTCTAAGCAGCAAAGACAAAGCAGGAGGCATCACAATCCCTGACTTGAAGTTATACTACAAAGCAACAGTAGTAAAATCAACATGGTATTGGAATCAAAACAGAGGTGAAGATCAGTGGAATAGATTAGAAGATACAACCACAACTACGAACACACTCAACCACCTTATTTTTGATAAAGGAGCCAAGCAGGTTCACTGGAAGAACGACAGTCTCTTTAATAAATGGTGCTGGAAAAACTGGCTCTCCATTTACCGAAAACTAAAGCTAGACCCATGTCTATCACCATGTACTAAATTAAAATGTAAATGGGTCAAAGATCTGAATATTAAAACAGAAACACTAAATCTATTGGAAGACAAAATAGGTAGAAACCTTGGAGACATAGGAGTAGGTAAAGAATTCATGAACAGGACTCAAACCGCACGGGAAATACTTCCCAGAATCAATAACTGGGACCACTTCTTATTAAAAAGTTTCTGCATGTCAAAAGAAATCTCCAGCATAGTGAAAAGAAAACCCACAAACTGGGAAAAGATTTTAGT